TTTTTCTTTTTGTTCGGGACGAACAAAGGTTTTAGTGTGGGGGAGTTGTTTGTTCCATTTTTGTGTCGTTTTTAGTCATTATTTTACCGTTCTTTTTCCCCCGTATTGAGTCGTTTAGGTGGTTTTAGAATCTTTTTGTCATTAATTATGTGTTTTGTGTTCATTTATGTGTTGCGTTATTTTTCTTTTTGTTTTCCGGTCTTTTTCTGTTCTCTTTTCGTTTTTGGTGTGTAGTTTGGAGACCTCGGAAGAATAGGTTTTCGAGAATCTTTTGGGGAAGCTGACACCATTAGAGAGAGGGTCTCCTTAGCGACGCATAGGAAAAAGCGGAATTGAATTCCGATACTAGACGAGCCCGAACGAGCCCAAACCGTGAAGTCGTGCAAAGCTGCCAGGACGTTAGCGGCGTTTTGGAAGCTTAGCGGGGTCAGAGGGGAGCAGCTAAGGTGGCTTAGCGGCGCTAAGAAGGGTTAGCGCCGCTAAGGTCTATTTTTTTTAACTGTTTCGTTTTTCTCGGAATTTCGAATTGGAGGACTTAAAGGTCGAGGCTAGGGCAGATTTTTGACATCTTTGAACATCCTTTTTCATACTTTTTCACTCCAAAAACATATCTTTCACTTGGTTTTTCTTGGATTGGATCTTGGAGAGTAAAAACTCCTTTTCTAGCTTTTGGATTTGGATTTCTCTTTGCTTTCTCGACATTGGATTTATACTAATCGTAAGCACTCCTTTTCTTATTTTGATATGATGATGTTTGCTTGGGTTGATGATTATTTTGATGTTGAATCAATCATGAGTAGCTAAATCCGTATGCTAGGGATAAGGGATTAATGTTTTGATTTCGATTGCAATTGTGGGTTCCGATGATTGTTCGTCTTATGCAAATTGTTCTTTATTAGGGTTTTTCAATAATCAAACTAGAGTTTTGAGAATTGTTGAAGAGTGACACTTCAACTTCCAATTAATTCAATTGAGTTCGATTAATTCGTGTTTGATATTGGTAAATCTATTTGATTAGTCGGTTAATCATCTTATAGTCTTATTTGTATCGACTCTTAGAACCGAAAGGGGAGGAGTCGGTCGAAAAAGGTTTGCATAAGCTAGGCTTGTTCGTAACTGTATTGCCTAGGAGTTAAATGACTTGGTAATTGTCGTTCTAGTTTGTTCTCTTGTTCCGAAGAGTTATTGAGAATGAGTTCTAGAACATGTTTGTTATTCAAATCACTTAACTGAATAATCACTTGCACACTAATTGCATTTCGAACCGAAACGGATATCCCTGACTCCCTAGCTTCTCAAATCCTTATTATTCTTCGTTGTCTTGCTACTTTTATTGCTTTATTCAATTAATTGCAGTAGTTGATAATTTAAACCATCCAATCATCTGAATTAGTATGTTTAGGTATTTACTTTCTTTATTTTCCCTTTTTGAGTGATTGAATAAACGTGCTTAGTATTCCGGCTGACTTTCCTCGGAGACACGACCCGGTGTCGAATCTTTTGATTCTGCTCCGGATAATATTTACAACACCGGCGAAGCAGACAGCGCCCAGGAGTCCCGTCGCGGGGAGATGACGCGCATGCCTAGTCCTCGTCTGCCTAGGAGACATGCCGCGCATCA